TTATTTGACCCGGATCGTGTCCCCCACCAGCACGCGCGCAAGAGCGTTCGAATGAGTTCGACATGCGTCGCGAAAGGCCCGTGTGGCAGAATTTGATGAACATGTTGGAAAACCGAGCGTTTTTTGTTCAAGAATCCGCACGACTGCGAGCGCCGGATTTTTCGAACATTGACGTTTCAAAACCATGCTGTTTTATATGTTTCGGGACTATCGATGTTGAAATCCTTACAGCAAATTCCGGTTTTTGACGGCTTCCGGCATGCGCGCGACGACGCGCGCGGGCGCATTTCGTCCCATTTGTTGCAAGGGATTCTTGCGACAGCACGCGCGCAAGGACGTTCGAACGATTTCGACATGCGCGCGCAAGAGGTCCGTTTGGTAGCATTTTACGAACATGTTGGAAACCTGTGATTCTTCTTTCGAATTCGCAAGAGCGCGGGCGCAGGTTCTTTTGACAATATTTGTTGTGAAGCCGTGTTTTTCCTGTTTGAGAAATATTTTCGTGGTTCTCGATGTTGAACTCTTTACGGGACCTGGGGTTTTCGAAGGATATCACCATGCGCGCGCGACGACGCGCGCGTGCGCATTTCGTCCCAATTGTTGTCAATATGTTCCCCAAACTGCTGATGCTTGATAAACGAGTGCGTGCGCATATATTTTTTCCAGATGATGAGGTGGGGTACCAATAATATGGATTCGTATGGTCGATGGACGATGGGACAGAAACGTACATGAAGTGCAATAAGACAAAGCGGCCCATTAATGCCCAAGGGGGGGAGATCCTAATTCTCCTTTAGAAAGCCATTATGCAGCCTATGTTGCGCAAAGCATTGAGGAACACATTTATGCAACGCAGGACAAAGCAACGCACAGCTGCCAAGCAGTGCAAAGCAGCGCAAAACATCGCAAAGCAATGCAAACCATCGCGAAGCAATCAATGTGGTGTAATTTTAACGGTGGCGACGAGCTGCGACGGTGGCGACGGGGCGGTGACGGCGACAACATAGCCGCCAGACCCGCTGACACGCCCACACGACGGGCGGCGACGGCGACTACATAACCGCCACACCGGCAAACAGGCCTAAACAACGGGCAGCGACGAAGCGTCGACGGGACGGCGACGGCGATTACATGGCCGCCAGACCAGCACGCAGGCCCAGACGACTGGCGGCGACGAGGCGGCGAAGAGGCAGCGACGTCGACGACATAGCCGTCAGACCGGCACGCAAGCCCAGTTCCATAGAAGAAAATTAAGAATCTCTAAGTACGCTGTTAGGAAAACATGTTTACACACATGCAAGCTTACACGCGCAAGCATATCTACATTTTAGCCAGCGGAGGGCCCCAAAGAGTGTATTCTTAGCAATATACGTGGTGCGATCTACGTGGAGCAATCCAAGTTGTGCAGCCTATGTGGAGCTGTACGCGTGGAACAATCTATGTGGTGTAAGTTATGTTGTGCAGCCGATGTTGTGCAATCTTCGTTTCTTCATATATGTATATATATATATATATATATATATATATATATATATATATATATATGTTGCAGTTCATGTGGTGCAACACATGCGGTGAAAGTCTATGTGATGCGATACGTGTTGTGCAGCGTGCGTGGTGCAACCCATGCTGTGTAATATATGGCGTGCGGTCTATGTGGCGCACTATGTGGTACAATGTATGGGATGCAGTATACGTGTTGCAATATATGTGGTGCAAGCTATGCTGTGTAATGTCCAATACAGTCGGTGTTCCGTGCGATCAAACAGCGCGCCGCAGGCACGAACAACAAAGTCGTGCAATCTACGTGCTGCAATGTATGTTTGTCGCGTAACCAATACATTGAACATACGTGGTGTGATGGTTGCTGTGCACTATACGTTTACATTTTTATACCAGTATAATTACACATATGTATGTATACATACATTCATATACTTATATATTTGTACACGCATATATATATATATATATATATATATATATATATATTCACCAAATTGGTATTGAAAACTTAGTGATGCGATATATATATATATATATATGGTTGTGCAATATGTGCTGTGCAAGATTTACGGTGCAATCTAGGTTGTGCAATTTATGTGGTGCAATCTTTGTTGTGAGGGATCAAACATGTGTAGCAGGTGCTATGATTCTCTCGTGTAATGTATGCGGTTCAATTGAACGGTGGTGACGAGGCGGCGACAGGGCAGCGACGGTGCAGCGACGGCGGCTACATAGCCGCCAGACCGACCACACGGCCCAGACGACGGGCGGCGACGAGGCGGCGACGGCAGTTACATAGCCGCCAGACCGACCACACGGCCCAGTTCCTGAGAGGACAAGTCAGAACCCTAAGTGCAAGCAGTGTTCGGGAAATTTCTGTATGTATAGCGGCCTTCAGCCCATGCCGCAGCTGCGCCTGGGTTGTAGGTCTGAGGCCTCTGGGATGCTTGTGGGGATCTCTTGGGGGTGTCTTGGGAGCCACTCTTGGTCTCTT